ATATATAAATTAGATGTGTATGAATGAATTTAAGGACCAGATGGGTAAAAACCAAACTGCTTACTGTGCTACCTCAAAAAGAGGAACTAGAATGGCAGAGTGGGTAGATTCTGAAGGGGCTTTTTGCTTTATCTTTATTGTTTGACTATTTTAGCACAGGAATGACATCATATATTTCTGGTATAATTAATTTTGATAATACTGCGTACAACCATAATTAAGAACGATTATTTTCTGTTACTAGTTCCTGCTGTATGATAGATGAACAGATGATACAGGTGCTTCTGCTTATGCCACCTCTATTGCCATGAATAGGCCTCATACCAGTACTTCTTTGCCACTTGACGGGTTCTAAACAACTCTTGAACTTGATGTGCTACTTCCTTCTCCCAAGCCAGCACCATTACACCTGTGGTTTCCTTGTCTAGCCGGTGGCACAGATGCAAGGGCTCTGCCTTATGGCCATGAAGTATCTTTGCCAGGATGGGCAATACTTCACTGATGCAGAGCTGGACTCCAGGGCCACCTAAGAAAAGAAAAAACAGAAGTCTGAAGTTTTCACCAAAGAACTTTTCATGGGAAAATTTTCTTATATATGTCAATGTTTTCTAAAGTTCTACTACTAGAGAGGGACAGGAAGCAGCAACATCAGTATGCCCAGAGAACTTGCTTGCTGGAAAAGAATCAAGTCCCCAACCTAGACTACTATGTCAGAATATGCATTTTAATAAGCTGCCCAACTGACTCATATGCAACGAAGTTTGAGAAACCCTGTCCTGTGCCTTTCTCCTCAGATGTACTTTGCAGGACTGTGAAGCTCCTCAAGGCATTAGAGAAGAACATTTAAGAGAACTGGCTTTGAGGTTAAACATTCCTGCGCTCTACTCTGTCCTCTCCAATCTAGCCATTTAATTTTGGACAGACTACTTACTTTTCCAAGTTTGTTTTCTCATCTATAAAAGGCAAATACTGTAAGCGGGAAAAATCTCCTTGGAGAATGGTAAGGTGAGAAGTTGTTGTGAGAATCGTAAGTGAAAACATCATGTGAAGCACTTGGCAATGCCTGCTGTCTTTATGCACAACCTTTTTCCTATCTTCCCCCAAAGCACTACTATCTTCTAGCTGAAATAATCCTTTCCCGCTCTTTCACAAATGCACTTTTTCTACCAGTTGTTTCTGACTTAACCTCGCTGTTTCTAATCATTACAACTTTTATTCCGAGATACCAGAGTTTCCATTAAATTCCAGACACTCGGATTTTATGTTAGGTATACTCCAAAACACAGACTCTCTCCCCTACCTCTCATTTTCGTTTACATATTACTTCCTTTTTCCAACTCTTGTTTGTTGTTGAGCCAGGTCGGCTGCAAACTCCAGATACTCAGCCGCCCAGGTAGCTGGGATTACACACCTATGACACCACCCTTGGCTCCTCTTCCAGTGAAACACTTTAAGGTTCTCCCTCCTTATAGCAGAAAGCAGCAGCAGGTCCTGTTCCCTTGCTCACATTGTCCTTACCATGGACAGGAAGACCGTAGGGCTTATTGATGACCACAAGGTCCTTGTCCTGGTGGAGAATCCCTCGGCTCAGGGCCTTGGCAAGAACGTTGGGGTGAACTCGTTGCAGTTGCTGCGTGAACCGCACTAGTTCTTGCACCCTCCGCTGAACAGGGCTTGTGGGGACCTAGTGGAGGAAAAAGGCGGGGGGAAATTCCCGGTAAAAAAAAAAAATGGCGGTGAAGTGGGGAGGGGGGCTTCATTAAGGCCTGGATGAGAATTTGTAACCCAGACTCATACCTTTCTTTGCCTTAGACTCATGCCGAGTAATTTGACAACACATACAGTGTTGTCTTAACCCGCATACGCACGCTGCAGTCCGGACTGAGCCCAGGAGTGGCAAAGACTCACCGCTCACGGAGACACCGAAAGCCTACTGACGTCCCCTCCGCAGGCTCGTCATTCTCTCACCATACACGCTCTACAGGTAGCACTTACACGCTGTCAGAGGATCCTACTACCGCACCCGCCGCCCGGGAAACCAATGAGCGCACTGCCTTTTGGGAGTTGTGGTCCTTAGAGGCTCACCGGCTTCGTCTTTGTCTTTTGCTCCCTTTTCTGGGCTCGGAGTTTCTCCGCTAATCTCTGGGCATCCAAGGGCCTGGATGCAGCAGCGCTGGAACAAAGTGGTTTTGAAACGAGAGTGAAGAAACTCTTCAAGAGCGGGCCGCTACCCCGGATCAAGAGGACAGGCGCACCACGTCTGGGCGCCGCCATCTTGTCAGAGGAGGGGCAAGCCAAGACCACGTGCGGAAGGGGGCCGGGGCTCTGCGGGTCACGTGGGGCGGGGGGGGGGCTTGATGTGTCACGTGGGCGGTGCGCGCTCAGTGCGGCTGCGCTGACCGGTAGCTGCAGCTGGAGCGGTGGCGTTTGGAGGAGACGCGGTGAGTGTGTTAGGGAAGCAGGGCTGGGGCTGGGATACGCCGGTTCCTCGATGTTTTCCGCCTCCACGAGGTTTCCGTTCTGGGACAGCAGGGCCCAGGGAAGCGTTTCTTCCTGCGGGACACAACCTCACTCAAAAATACCTCCCCACCCCCGCGCCCTCTCAGAACCAAAGCCCCGTAGGCTCTTGTCCCAGAGCCTTCTCGGGCACCTGGCTCGTCCCTCTGGGCAACCACGTCCCCGGCCAGTCCCATAAGGAACGCGTTGGGACGCCTCCCGTTTCTTTACGGCTCGACCTCCAGAGATGCCCGGATATCTGCCCTCCCTGCCCCTCATCTTCCGACTCCCAGCCTCTTTGTTTCTCGTTGTAACCTGTTCTGTCCCGCCGGGGATCGTGGCCCTTCGTTAATTCATCTGGCCTCTAATTCCCACCTAAGGAGTACTCCGGATCCCTCCTGTGCTTCACAGTTCATTTCTTGGAGACTCCCAGCTCTTGCCAAAGAAAAGACTACGGAGAACAAACCCCTTGTCGTTTTGTCTTCGTTAGCCCCCTCCCCTTTATAGTTTGCACCTGCCCCAAAGCCTCTCTCCGTCTCTTAAAAGACGCAAAATGAGGGCTCCTGTGCCCGAACTGCAAGCGACTCCCTCTCATCTCAGCAAAGGAAGGCTGGGCAAAAGAACAGCTGTTTGAGATGGTAATCTAGTGCTTTGGGATATAAAGTGCCGTTTCCAAGGAAAGCTAATGATGAAAGACTGGGAAACTAAAGGATCTGTAGTGACAGCAGAGGGATGATAGAAAGAATGAGAGAGGAAGTAGTTGGGTTGGGTGTAGGTCCTACTCCGCGGGGGGTTGGCCGAAAGGAGCCACATAAAGCGTGAGACAAAACTGAACTGTTGGAGCTAACCTAAGGAAGATTAAGTTGAAGAGTTTAAACTACATGTGATAGGTAGTTGGCAGACTTTGAAGCTTTCTTGAAAGGCTCCTTGCAACTGGAATTCTAGAAATGAATCTAGCAATCAATTGCAAGACAGATCAAAAAGGAAAGAGTTTGGTAGCAGGGAAGCCAGCTGGGATGCTGCAGTCTAGGTGATCAGTGGTGACATCATGCCCCATTCAGTAGTCTTTTCCCCCTACAGAGTACAAATCTTTGAGTTTGAATTACAAGGTATCAGGGTAAGATCTACAGTAGTAGCTGGTGTTGAGTCAGAGGACTCTTTTTTCTTAATCCTCATACCTAGCACATAGTAACCTCACAAATATTTGTTAGATGACTTAAGATATTTCTGGAACATTTTGAATTGGCCTATTTCTGTCAGGTTTTTTATCTGAAGAATGAAAGTAGGGGTAAATACATTTGTAGAATTGAGAAGATGTTTCTGTAACAAAATAGGTAATCTAGACAAGTGCAAAGAAGTCCAAAGAATATTGAGGAACTGCCTGTGTTTCTCCACCCACCCCTGCTTCACAGATAGGATGTATATCTATAAAAGTTGAGAAATTCCACCCTAAAAGAATTACTGCCTTTTACTGATACACTCCAGACCCCCAGTTCTAGTTTCACTATGGTTGACCATCACTTGTTACTTAGTTACAACAAGGCCCCTTTTCCAAGAACTGTGCAATGTAGACATCAGGAGGTAAGTTCAGATCGTTAAATGCGGGCCTGTTTGGGGTACAAGACTTCTACGGTTTGGGTGGTGGTGCTAGGAGAACCTGTTCCTACCTGCACTTCTGATAGCATTCAAGAAACAGCACTTGCAGGATTGGCCATCTGTGCTAAGAAACAAAACCAAGAACCAACTCGAATATGGTTGCTAATGACATCCCTTGTGTTCTTGGGTTTCAGGTTAATCCAAGGCACACACTAGAATATGTGAGAATAAAAACTTTTTTCTAAAGGAGGAACTTTTTGGTTTTTCTTGCTGAAACTTTGTAAGAAAAATTTATAGAATTCAAAGGTTTTGTTTTTTATTGCTTTATAGCTTGAGTCACTGTGGGAACAAAAATTACAACTTCCTTAATGTTTTTCCCATGAGTCTTAAGTGCTTAGTAATTTAGAGCTGCCCTCTTAAGTGTAAAGAATTTATGCAAATATGTTTGTTTTTCATTTTTTGTCTCTGTATTGCCTTTTTCCTCTTCCTCCACTGAATTCTATTTTAGGCATTCAGTTCTCCTGTGTGTATGTGTATGGGGGCGCTGCCGCCGCTAGGAATTGAACCTGAGACCTTGCATATGCCAGTCAACACTTTACCAGTGAGCTACTGTATATCGTCAGTTCCTTCCTTTTTCTACTTCTGTACCAGTCTCACGTTGTCTTTTTACTTGGGGATGCCTCTTGTCTGAACTGCTTTCTCAGTGTAAGGAAAGAAATTCCATTCGTGGGTCTTCATTCTTACAGGATACAGCTTTTTTCAAATGTGGTATATGAGGGGCTGGGGATTTAGTTCAGCGGCACAGCACCTGCCTGGCAAGCGTGACATCGTGAGTTTGATTCCCGGTACTGGAAAAAAAAAACAAAAACAAACAAACAAAAATGTGGCATATATTTATATAGATTTTGATGTTACAATATATGCCCTCAACATAATTATATAAAGAAAAGTAGATAGTGTGCTTTTAAGGATATTTCCTACTCTGTGCTAGAACAGAAAGGCTGCCTTAGTATTTCACAAACATAAACAAAGAATGAAGGAACTGATATTTAAATTCATAAATTTAAAGAGTTGTGGCTCCTCAATGATTTTCTAGTTGCAGATTAACCAAAGATCCTGTTTCCCTGAAGAACAGGAAGTACTTGGACATTGTTTTATGGTTTTAGATTAAAAGAAGCAATTAGCAGGAACTCTCTGGGGAATCCGGGAAAGTGCAGTTTGGGGAGCAAAGAGAACTGGGGATCATGAATTTAAGCAAGTATTTGGGTTTCAGAGTTCTGTCATTAACTCTTTACCACTCTAAACTCCTGTGATATGAAGATTTTTCCAATGACACTTTTAATACTTTAGCAGTGTAATTTATTTTAGACTTGATGTGAATGCATTTAGCATTGGTACGGAGAATCTGGATTCTACCCTTGTTCCCCTAATTTAACTTTATGCCACTGAGCGAATATTTATATTTGGAATTGACTTCACTGAATGGTTAAGATTTCTTAAACAGGCTGTATGAGGAGGGTGCAGGTAGAAAAAAATATTAGGGGCTGTGGGTATAGCTTAACAGTAAGAATATGTTTGAGACCTCAGTTTCAAGCACTGTACCAGAATAAAAAAAGTGATAAAACAATGTAGAGCTACAACATGAGTGTTAGTTCTTTTCCTATACCAGCATTTTAAAGAAATTTCAGTTTACTATTACATTTCATACTTTACTTAGCTTTTGTGTAATGATCAAGACCGGTCTCCCTTAAACCAGTGGTTCCCAGACATTTTTCATTTCATGACATATGTAGAAATAATTGTATCATTGGCAAAAGCTGGAGGTGCCCACAGAGGACAACTTGCCCAGGTCGTCTGGCCATCCCCAGCCCCCTTCTGACAGCAAGCACCAAAGGCCGAGGAGAGAGACATCCTACCTTGAAACCTGTCTAACCCTTAGGAAGCTCAGCTCTGCACATCCAAGACCTTTGTCCCAAAATCACCTAGCTATGAAAAGAAACTGTTTTACTGGTTACTTTTGTTATATTGTTGTCATACTTGGATTTACGTTTATGCACCTTTATACTCTTGGCTTATTCGTAAAGGTCTTAACCTGTCCTTACACAGTGGCCTGTCTAAAAGTATGTAAGTAATAGCTGATAAAGAGATGAGAAATACTTCTGCCATGATGTTACTGGTTTTTATTTTCATTTTGAGACTGGGTCTCACTATGTAGTTCATGCTGGACTTGAACTCACTAAGTCGCCCAGGCTGGCCTCAAACTCTCCACTGTCCTCTGGCCTCAGCCTCTCTTGAGTGCTGGGATTACAGGCCAGGCGTGCACCACCATACCTGGCTCTGCCATGGTGTTTTATTTATTTATTTATTTTTGGTCTTTTTGAGACAGGGTCTCGCTATGCAGTTCAGGCTAGCCTTGAGCTCGCTTTGTAGCCCAGGCTGGCCTCGAACTCACAACCATCCTCCTGCCTCAGCCTCCCAAGTGCTGGGATTACAGATGTGCGCCACCATACCTGGCTTCTTGCCATGGTGTTTTGACCCAATTAGATGATAGGTGATCTTGGTGAGAACTATTTTTTAAAAATTAGGAACATCCGGAGTCAAAGATAAGTGTATAAGTAATACATGCAGTTTTTAGTTTATTTTACATGTTCCATTATAAAAGTAATACCTAAAATATAAAAAGTACAAAAAATAGAATGGGAAAAATTGTTTATAGTTCTGTTTTCCAAATATGTTAATATCATAGTTTCTCTCTAGTTTATTTTTATGTACTGTTTTTCAGTTATAGAAATTTTCAAACATTTACAGAAGCAGAGGAAATACTCTTATGAAGCCCAGGTACCCATCAGCCACCTTTGACAGTAAACCCAGGGCCAAACTTGTTATACAGCCTGCACCCCAGCTTTGCCTCCCAGATGGATTTGAATCAAATCCCAAACATATTCATTTGTAAAAAATTTCATTATCAATTTATAAAAGATAAAGACTTATTTTCAATATAGTCATACCTTCCAAAAAAGTGTATTCCTGAATGTCACCAAGCAGGTAGTCATTGCACAGATTTTCCTGTTTGGCTCTTTTTTTTTTTTTTTTTTTTTTAATAGTTGCAAAATGTGGTTTGAGATCCAAGGAAGATCTACATATCGACATACACTTTCAGTTAGAAGAAAGAATACCCTGGGGGCAGACAGGAGAGACGTGTAGTCTCTAAACCTTGTAAATGTAGTGGCTGATAGCTTGCATTTTGGAATAAGACTGAGTTTCAGATTCTAGCTTTGCCACTTATTAGCTGTGTAACCTGTAACTTTACTTAACCTCTCTCACTTTAGTATTTTAAGTTAATTAAATT